ACACTATAGTGTCAGGAACACAAACATATATTCCTGACACCATAGTTGTGAAAACGCTATTCACCCTGGTTTTATGTGATAATGGCTATGCCCCTTCCCTTTCATGACACTGTCAAAAAGGTACCAAGCATGGATGTCATTACAATTATGCCCCCCCCTGGAAAAATTCCTGCGGACGCCCATGTATTACTAGTAATCTGACGCTTTCAGAACGTAGAGCTCTCAAAGATTTACAAACACAAACTGCTTTAATAATCAAACAAGTTGACAAAGGTGGTAATATTGTTCTCCTAAATCGTTCTGAATATGTCAGCATGTGTATGTCTCATTTGAATGACATCACATGCTACAGAACTCTTCCTTCAGATCCTACGACTATTTACGTTAATGAACTTAAGAGATTATTGCATGATGCCTTTGATCGACAGATCATTAATCAAGATGAATTCAAATTTTTATTGCCAAACAAATGCCCAACCATTGCAACGTTTTACTGTCTACCAAAAATACACAAGGGCATTCGACCTCCTCCTGGTCGACCAATTGTCTCTGGCAATAACTGTTTGACAGAATCATTAAGTAAGTTCATGGAAAAAATTCTACATCCCATTGTATTAAAATTACCATCTTACCTTCAGGACACTAAGTCCACTCTCCTTACATTGCAGAACTTGACTGTCCCACCATATACTCAACTTGCTAGCCTTGATGTGGTCTCCTTATATTCAAACTTACCCCATCATATAGGCTTGAGGGCATGCAGATTTTTTCTTGACAACACCTCATATAATGATTCACAAAAAGATTTTATTTTAGCTTCTCTTGAATTCATCTTGACACACAATTATTTTCTGTTTAATGGGGCCTTTTTTTTTTTTGCAGGAGCTATAGTTATATTATATTTTGTCAATTACACCTTTGGCACCTCTACATAGCGATGCAGCCACCTGCATAGGAATTGTTACAATTGATACATTCTTTCCTTCGCATTAGCTAACTAATTTAGATATACATCTGTTGCTAATTCTAGCGGTCCAATCTTTAGATACTTATTTTGTCTAAGTCTATCGCAACTATTGTATTAATTTCACTGTGCATAATCCCAGAACACTTCATTCGATATACCGTATATACTCGCGTATAAGCCGACCCGAATATAAGCTGAGGCCCCTAATTTTACCCCAAAAAACTGGGAAAACGTATTGACTCGAGTATAAGACTAGGGTGGGAAATGCAGCAGCTACTGGTAAATTTCTAAATAAAATTAGATCCTAAAAAAATTATATTAATTGAATATTTATTTACAGTGTGTGTGTGTATGAATGCAGTGTGTGTGTATGAATGCAGTGTGTGTGTATGAATGCAGTGTGTGTATGAGTGCAGTGTGTGTATGAATGCAGTGTGTGTGTGTATGAATGCAGTGTGTGTGTGATGCAGTGTGTTTTGTGTTGCAGAGCCTTGGTATGTATGAATGCAGTGTGTGTGTGTATGAATGCAGTGTGTGTGTGTGTGAATGCAGTGTGTGTGTGTGTGATGCAGTGTGTTTTGTGTTGCAGAGCCTTGGTGGGGGGTGGGCATTTTTATAAAAAAAAAATTATTATTCTTTTAATTTTTTTGTTATATTATTTTTTTTATTATTTTTTTATTATTATTATTATTTATATTTGTATATTATTAAGTTATTTATTTTTCGTCCCCCCTCCCTGCTTTTTAGCTGGCTGGGGAGGGGGGCTCTCCTTCCCTGGTGGTCCAGTGGCATTGGCAGTTCAGTGGGGGGAGGAGGGGGGCTGGCAGAGCTGTTACTTACCTCTCCTGCAGCTCCTGCCAGCTCTCTCCTCCTCCGCGCCGGTCCATGCAGCTCTTCTGTCAGCTCACACTGTAAGTCTCGCGAGAGCCGCACTATGACCCCGCGGCTCTCGCGAGACTTACACTGGGAGCTGACCGAGGTGCTGACCGGACCGGCGCGGAGGAGGAGAGAGCTGACAGTAGCTACAGGAGAGGTAAGTAACAGCTCTGCCAGCCCCCAGTCTGTATTATGGCAATGTAAATTAATGTAAATTGCCATAATACAAACAGTGACTCGAGTATAAGCCGAGTTGGGGTTTTTCAGCACAAAAAATGTGCCGAAAAACTCGGCTTATACTCGAGTATATACGGTAACTCATTTTTATAGTCTGTGGATCGATGCACACAGATTGATTTCGCTTTCTTCCTTTCTCTCCATACCCCTCTCTTTTTTGTTACACATTTTTATATTAGCTGTGCTGTACATTTTGATCCCGGAAATTGCTATTAATTATTTCAATTCATATTATTTTATTAATTTTGGTTAATTCATTCATTGTATTTTAATGTCCTCCCTCACTCCCCTTATCCCTCCCTTTTGTATACACCAGTAGCACTAGTGTGTTGGCTATTCTTTCTGTCTATTTGAGACAACCAGTCTACACTACATCATTGTGTTAAAGGTAGTCTATTTTGGGAATGTCTTTTTGATATATATTAATAAAGTATCTTCTAGATTTTTATTTATGGACAGATTCTCCTCGTTTTCTACTTTATTCTACAATTTAGGGTTACCCCCTCTCTGTCCTTTCTACATATGAGAATCTAATGGGCCAACTTTTTTCTGTTTTTCGTATCACAACAATTATATCATCAGATATCAGACAAAATATTACATAAATACTCACGTAGAATTTAAATATATATTTAAATAGAATTTAAATATATATGCATATTTATACATTTGAAGTCTACGTGTATATTTATGAAATTATTTCATAAAAGTAATTTTGTATATGGATAAATATATTTAGTATTATTTTGATTTATTTATATATACATAGATGTTTATATAATTTCATTCTAAGTGTATTTTATCATTATTATATATTTTATAAATATATATATACACACGTGTGTAATTTAATTATAAGTGTATTTTTATATTAATATATGTATATATTAATATAAAAATACACTTCGTATGACATTATATATATATATATATATATATATATATATACACACGTAATTATATTTTTTTAAATTAACATTAACTTTTTTTTTATTTAAACTAACATTTTTTTTTATTTAAACTTGCAGGGAGACTGACTGTGAGCACGGGCAGTCCCCCTGCAGGCAGATACATGGACACCTATTGTGACCATGTGACCACTCTGTTGAGCGATCACATGGCCGCAGGGTCCGGATTTGCAGTGGGGAGACTGCCTGGGCTGTCAGGCAGTCTCCCCACACCGGGAGAAAGACGAAGACGACGACTGAGTAAGGATTTCCATTATAACGGTTCAGGACAGTCACCGGTGCTCAAGGGGATTGTTCCGATGATAGTCCTGAACCGTCATCGGTCGCGAAGGGGTTAAACACTATAGTAGGCTTCTATTATGCTGCTCCCTGATTGGCTGCCGACCGATGATGTCATTTTGGCGCCAATTTCAACCATTTTTTAATCATTTGAGCACCTATATAAACCCAATAAGCCAGGATGTTTGTTTTATTCCATTTGATGAAGCCCTAGTGGCGAAACACATTATTGTATTTTTACTTTGTATTTATAATAAAGGAACTATTTTGGGCACTTTACCAAAGTTTGTGCCAAACTCCTTTTAATTTTTTACCTGTCGTTCTACCATCACTCCAAAGAAAGGTGGGGATCATACCACCAAAGCTGATACCATAGAGCAGTTAGCCTGCTCTGTACTTTGTTTGTATATTTTATATACCTTATTTATATCTGTTTTTTTCTTCTTTCTATTACCGTTTGGAGCTCCAATCAACCTTTAGACATAGGTCACTCACACCATATCCTGAAGTGGGGATTGTACCACTACCAGCGCTTCATGCTAGAGCTGGCTAAAGCTCTATGAAATGTGAGTGTATTATTGCTATGTCACTATAATCCCTTTATACTATACAAATTGCACTATTGGGCCTTTTATTTTGTTTCGTTTCTTTTCTCCTCTCCAAATATATGTATATGATTGAACACCGCAGAGACTGATCAAAGGATACCACTCCTAGGCCTTGGGAATCCACACCTCACTGCTAACGCATCACAAAGACACCTGTTGGTGTGAACATCTAGGTTTTTCTCTTTCTGTATTTCTGGCCATTTTTTATATATACCTTTTATACATATCTGTGTGGCGCAGCCCAGATTTACATCTGTACATTCCTGTTTTTGTTCAAAGGGTAAGAGGGATCCCCTTTGTTGTGGTTGCTGCCTACCCACTGATATATTAGCACTGACCCATTTGTGTGCATTTCCATAGCTCCTTCTGTCTGTGTCACCCTGCAGTGGGAGGGACAGACTCCGTGTCCCATAGCTCCTTCTGTCTGTGTCACCCTGCAGTGGGAGGGACAGACTCCGTGTCCCATAGCTCCTTCTGTCTGTGTCACCCTGCAGTGGGAGTGACAGACTCCGTGTCCCATAGCTCCTTCTGTCTGTGTCACCCTGCAGTGGGAGGGACAGACTCCGTGTCCCATAGCTCCTTCTGTCTGTGTCACCCTGCAGTAGGAGGGACAGACTCCATGTCCCATAGCTCCTTCTGTCTGTGTCACCCTGCAGTAGGAGGGACAGACTCCGTGTCCCATAGCTCATTCTGTCTGTGCCACCCTGCAGTAGGAGGGACAGACTCTGTGTCCCATAGCTCCTTCTGTCTGTGCCACCCTGCAGTAGGAGGGACAGACTCCGTGTCCCATAGCTCATTCTGTCTGTGCCACCCTGCAGTAGGAGGGACAGACTCCATGTCCCATAGCTCCTTTTGTCTGTGTCACCCTGCAGTGGGGGGGACAGACTCCGTGTCCCATAGCATTTTCTGTGTGTGTCACCCTGCAGTGGGAGGGACAGACTCCGTGTCCCATAGCATTTTCTGTGTGTGTCACCCTACAGTGGGAGGGACAGACTCCGTGTCCCATAGCATTATCTGTCTGTGTCACTCTGCAGTGGGAGGGACATGCTCAGTGTCACTGAAAGTAACTCACCAAGTTCATGGGGCAATTCGTGGCAGAGAACAGCAAGTGATGTCGCCAATCCGGTTTTCCATGAGGTTGAAAATGCGGCTCCGATCGCCATACCATCTGCAAAGTTGTGAATTGCGTCTCCAATAGTGATCATGTAGGGAATCATTCGCTGCTCTGTGACGATACAGAATATATATTGTATTCCATAATCTTTGATTTATTGTCTAAAATTTTAATACATTTACAAATTATAAATCATACAAAAACAAGCAATCATTGGCAATGATGCCAAACGGCCATTCTCTCCACATTCAGTCCTCTATTATAGGAATTCCATATATTGTTCTATGTTTTGTTCTGTTGTTGGAAAGTTCATATATTACGGTTTTACTTCACATACGTACATTATTACTAAAGTCGCCCTGTAAAGCTCAGTCATCTTCCACTTACAAAGACAGTCTGTGGACTTTATAGGAAAGCATGTTTATCTTGGGCCAGCATTAGGAAGCCCAGATCAGCCCTCATATAGTCTAGGATTGTTACGTCATTAGATCAATTTTCGGTGAGGCTCGTTCTCAATCCCCCAAGTCAGAGAGGGAACATCATATCTTCTCTGGTAAAATATTTGGAGTCTCACCTATCACATGAAATCTTTCCTGAATCTCAACATTCTAGTGCCTTTTAGGACCGCATGTCAGCTAGCAAGGACTCGTATGTCACCAGTTCTAGATTACTGCTTTGCAGCTTGCCGGTACCTGGGAGAGTCACAGCTTTACATAGTTTGCACATTTTAATCTGTTATCCTCTGTAACTTATTTAGATATTAATTCAGTTTCTTTATATAGTTTTTCACACAACCCTCTCAATTCTGATCATACACTGGGGTTAATAAGATTTTGTAACAGAGCTCCCTGTACCCCAGCTGGGTACCTCTGCCAAGGACCACTTCCTAGCTGTAACAGGGGACAAAACGCAGCACTTCTGGCCACAATCACTGTGGCTTGACTGGGGTCTTGGAACGGCTCTCTCCTGGAGCCGAATGGGGAATTCGCTCTAGACACCCCCAGGCACTGGACAACACCCCGTGGGAGCTCTAGTCCTTGCAAGGACTTTCTCTGTTGAATCCTCCACACTGAAACATTGATTAGCCCTTTCCCCTCCCAGTAACCAGCTGACACATAGTTCTGGGAGTACAGGCTGGAATACCTTTATTGGCAGCCACAATTGGCTTTATATGCAGGTCTTCAAGCAAGGGGCACTCACCCCTTGACCTGAGAGTAGCCTACAATAAAAACATACACACAATTACATTGGCTCTCAAGTGCAGGACACTTCAATACAAAACAAGATAATCCCTCCCCTGGGTTTTGGTCCTTGTGAACGGCCGCCTGGGAGCTAGCGATTGGTTCTATGCACGGTAATGGAAAGTGCCGAACCAGTGGAACCAGGGGGAATAAAATATGGATCTTTACAGTCGCTGACCTGGCCCATAGTCGGTGGGCAGCAGGCCCTCCAGGAGTCCATGGCAAACATCTGTGGAAAGCGGCATTTGTCACAGATATCACTGATAAGGTGACTTAGGTTCAATGGGACGTAACCCTTTATCATATTATTGTAGAAAAACAATAAGTACCTTCAACTACAGAGTCCAAGAGAAGAGACACAGTCTAAAAAAAATATAGAGATGATTTTAACTTTAAAATATAAAGTTACCAAGTTTACTACGTGTAAACCTTAAATTGATCCTTATAAAAAATTGTTTTCAAACAATGGGCGAACCAGCAGCATATCCGCAATGCAGAACTAACTACCATTGTGTAGAAGTGGACTATTGTGACTAGGAAAAAAACTAAAAAAATTACTTAATCCAGACCTAATAATAAGAAATAATAAGAAGGAAGACTAGATCCACCTCTAACCAACATTATGCGGGTACAGCCACCTTTCAAGGAAAGATCCACCCATAGCCCACACTGTGCGGGTACAGCCACCTTTCAAGGAAAGATCCACCCCTAACCCACACTGTGCGGGTACAGCTACCTTTGAAGGAAAGATCCACCCCTAACCCACACCGTGCGGGTACAGCCACCTTTCAAGGAAAGATCCACCCCTAACCCACATTGTGCGGGTACAGCCACCTTTCAAGGAAAGATCCACCCCTAACCCACACTGTGCGGGTACAGCCATCTTTCAAGGAAAGATCCACCCCTAACCCACACTGTGCGGGTACAACCACCTTTCAAGGAAAGATTCACCCCTAACCCACACTGTGGGTACAATCACCTTTCAAGGAAAGATCCACCCACAACCCACACTGTGCGGGTACAGCCACCTTCCAAGGAAAGTGTCACGTATTCATCCGCTTATAGAAATGTGGTTAATGACATTTACTGTCCACACAGGAAAAGTTGTGCCGAGCAGCAACCTAATCCACAGAAGGGTTAATGCTGAGCAGCAATTATGCAAATGAAACCTGGTAACTGACTTTGGGGATCAAAGGCCGGTTACAGCCTATCAGAACTAAAGGAGGGGTATTTAGGCCCAGTTCTCAGCCTGCTCAGTGCCCTGTCGTGGTTTCCCTTGTGGTTGTCTGAGAGCGCGTTCCTGTTTATAGTTTTCTACCTGGTTTTTGACTTTGGCTTTGTTTATTGACTTCTCTATATTCTGGTATCCTGACTCCTGGCTTTCCTCATCGCTGTGTCCCTTTCTGTGTTCCCTGACCTCGGCTAGTATTTTTGACTATTCTTTGTACGTTAAATCCGGCCATAGGCGTGCGCACGGGGTGTGCCGGGTGTGCCTGGGCACACCCTAATCCCCGTGGCACGCCTATGGTTTGAGTCCTGCAGGAACAGCGTTCCTGCACTTTTTTTTGCTGTCTGCTCCCTCTCGCCGCGCGCTGATGCCGGGAGCCGGAATATGACGTCATATTCCGGCTCCCAGCTACAGCAGACAGCCCGCGCGGCGAGAGGGAGCAGACCGCAGAGAGCTCCCTCGCCGCGGCTGAGCTGCAGAAAGGCGCCCGCCCCACTGGACCCCAGGGAAAAGTCCACCAGCACTCCAGGTAGGAGGCTGGGTGGACATTTGTTTTTAATTGAAAATATAATAATTTGTTCTTGTGTGTGATTGTGTGTATGTGAGTGTGTGTGTGTGTCAGTGAGTGTGTCAGTGAGTGTGTCAGTGAGTGTGTCTGTGTGTGTGTGTGTGTGTGTCAGTGAGTGTGAGTGTCTGTGTGTGAGTGAGTGCGTGTGTCAGTGAGTGAGTGTGTCTGTGTGTGTGTGTGTCAGTGAGTGTGAGTGTGTGTGTCAGTGAGTGTGTGTGTCAGTGAGTGTGAGTGTCTGTGTGTGTCAGTGAGTGTGTGTCTGTGAATGTGTGTGAGTGTGTGTCAGTGAGTGTATGTGTGTCTGAATGTGTCTGTGAGTAAGTGGGTGTACGCATATATATATGTATATATATATATATATAAACAAAACCAAGAGGGCTGCACTCACCTAAACATGCATACATTATAGGGTGCTGCTATTAGAGATTTAGAGATTGTAATAGTTTTATTTAAAAACACCTCACCTAGGCAAAAAGGTGCCTCCAGGATCCTATTTAGCCTTGACTTGCAGAGAGTCCCAGTAAGGAAGTATTTCCCAAGTAAGTGGATCAATCTCATAAGGGCAAGCATTAGGCTGCTAGAGTAGGACCTGCCAAGAATGGGGTACATTGACGTTGTGGCAGGCTTATGCAATATATGATCATATAATGTAACTAAACCCCCATTATTTTTTGCCTAGGTGAGGTGTTTTTAAATAAAACTATTACAATCTCTAAAATTTTGAAAGCATTATTTAGTGAATAAGCGAGTGCGCTGGATTCTGTATTTTGTATGTTTTGGCCCCAGCAGCACCCTATAATGTATGCATGTTTAGGTGAGTGCAGCCCTCTTGGTTTTGTTTGTATATTTGGGAGTCTAGGCCAGCTCCTTGGTTTTGCACCCCTCCCTGTCACAGGTGCCTCATTCCAGGATCCTATTTAGCCTTGACTTGCAGAGAGTCCCAGTAAGGAAGTATTTCCCAAGTAAGTGGATCAATCTCATAAGGGCAAGCATTAGGCTGCTAGAGTAGGACCTGCCAAGAATGGGGTACATTGACGTTGTGGCAGGCTTATGCAATATATGATCATATAATGTAACTAAACCCCCATTATTTTTTGCCTAGGTGAGGTGTTTTTAAATAAAACTATTACAATCTCTAAAATTTTGAAAGCATTATTTAGTGAATAAGCGAGTGCGCTGGATTCTGTATTTTATATATATATATATATATATATATATATATATATATATATATATATATATATATATATATATATATATATATATACACACACGCAGAGCCGGCGCTATCTGAGTGCCGGCTCTGCTCTAAGCCTTCATGGGCCGGCGGGGAGACCAAAGATCTACCTCACCGGCCCACAGCAGCATGGAGGGAGGCAGGAGAGGACCCAGGGAGCTCTAGACAGAAGCTCCGCCAGGTTCCTCTCGCGATATCTGAGTGTTGCTGCGGCAACGCTCAGATCTCGCGAGAGTTAACTCTAGCCCTGCAGGCTAGAGTTCACTCTCCACTGGACCACCAAGGATGGCACATGGCAGCAAGGATTTACTAATCTGCCAAATCCCTCCAAACATACAGCACACACATACAGCACCTACACACATACAGCTCACACACACATACAGCTCACACACACACAGTACACTAACCGCACCCTCACAAACACACACAGCACCTTTAAAAAAAACACAACACCCTCACACACAGCACACTAACAGCACCCTCACAAACACACACACACACAAACAGCACCCTCACAAATACACGACACTCACACAAACAGCACCCTCACAGGACAAACATACACACACAAACAGCACAGTCACAAACACACACACACAAACACCCTCACATCACACTAACAGCACCCTCACACACATCACACTAACAGCACACAGCACACTAACAGCACACACAGCAGTGTGTGTGTGTGTTTGTGTGTGTGGATATATCTATATATATATATATATATATATATATATATAGATATATCCACACACACACACGCGGCGTGTGTTTGTGCTTTAGGGTGCACACCCAAATGCAATAGGCTGCGCACGCCTATGAATCCGGCCATTCTAAGGACCGGTAATACGTTACTTATTTGTCATCCGTGCTGTACAGTTCTACGTGCTGGATCAAACGGTAATCCTGACATTATGACATGGCCATAGATCCTGTAGAACTGTGTCAGCACATAGCTGCTTGCGAGAGGAAATTAGAGGAGAATGATCACCGCATGGATCAATTCACTCAGGCTTTAAGTACGCTTCTCACTAGAACGGAGCATCTGCAGCCTGCAGCGTCTCCTCCTATAGCACCTCTACCCTGTGTACCTCCACCCACTGTTAATAGGACTCCTTGCATCTCCTTATCACCATCCCTACAGTTTGATGGCAATATCCAGGAATGCAGGGGTTTTCTTAATCAGGTGGAGTACCATTTTGAGGCCTCACCAGGGTCATTCCCCACGGACAGAGCAAGAATTGGTTATCTAATGAATCAATTAAAGGGCAAGGCCCTTGCCTGGGCTAATCCGTTGTGGGAGAGTAATCGGAGCATAGCTCATAATTACCAGGAATTCCTTGCCGAATTCAAGCTCACGTTTGAGCCATTGGGTAGAGAGGATGACGCCTCCACTGCCCTAATGCACATCAGACAAGGTAACCGGTCTATCTCGGATTATGCTATTGAATTCCGTACCTTAGCTTCCGAGGTAGACTGGACTAACAATGGGTTAATCTCAGCATTCAAAAAGGGTCTCTCAGAGACTATACTAGATGAGATAGCCGCTAAAGAATTACCTAAGAGTCTTAACGAATTTATTACGTTTGTCATGCATATTGATAATAGGTTAAGACTCAGAGAAGTCACCAGAAGCAAGACCAGACGTACGGCTATGTCCCTAGCACCTCAATTCTCTAAACCTGTTTTGTCTAACCTCCCTGTACAGTCCGAACCCGAACCTATGCGGTTGGGGGTCACTAGACTGTCAGAGGCCGAAAAACAGTATAGGAGAAGGGAGGGGTTATGCCTATATTGCGGTAGAAAGGGACATATGATAACTAATTGTCCAGTGCGTCCGGAAAACTTCCGCACCTAAGAACCTTAAGGGGACAGATCTTAGGTGTGATGGAGTTGTCCTCTAACAAAAACAAAAGTAGATTCCTCCTTGAGGTATCTATTTCCCTTGATAACAAGAAGTTTTCTTGCAGTGCCCTAATGGACTCAGGTGCTGCTGGAAATGTTATTGATGTTCAGTTTATTAGGGGTAATGAGATACCGGTCAGGGAGAGACCTACGCCGCTAGCTGTAGAGGCTATTGATGGTAGACCACTCACACAACCGCTTATAACCCACGAAACTGTCCCTATTACGATCTCCATTGGGGCCTCCCATAGGGAGGAGATGACGTTTCAGGTTATTACTTCTCCATCATGTCCTATCATATTAGGGTTTCCGTGGCTGAGTAAGCACAATCCCTATATTGACTGGGCTAATGGGGAGATATTAGAATGGGGTAAAGAGTGTATGGGGAGATGTATAAAACCAGTACTAAAGAGATTGGATACTATTGACCTTCCCACTACCACTCCCCAAACTCCTGGAGTTCCCATACAATACCGAGAACTTCAGGAGGTGTTTAACAAGGCTCAATCCGATGTATTGCCTCCCCACAGAGCATATGACTGTGCCATTAACCTGTTTCCAGGCGCTATGCCACCTAAGGGGGCAGTTTATGCCTTATCTCCCCAGGAGAGTAAAATAATGGAGGAATACATCAAAGAATCCTTGAGCAAAGGGCACATAAGAAAGTCATCCTCACCAGCTGGTGCAGGATTCTTTTTTGTTGAGAAAAAGGGTGGTGAGTTACGCCCTTGCATAGACTACAGGGCACTTAATAAAATCACTGTAAAAAATGCATACCCTATCCCACTCATTTCCGAATTGTTTGATAGACTTCAGGGAGCTAAAGTATTTACTAAGCTTGACCTTAGGAGCGCTTACAATTTGATTAGAATTAAAGAGAATCATGAGTGGAAGACGGCATTTAATACCCGTAGTGGACACTATGAATATCTGGTAATGCCATTTGGGTTATGCAACGCCCCGGCCGTATTCCAAGACTTTATAAATGGTGTACTCAGGGAATTCATTTACTCATTTGTCTTGGTTTATTTGGACGATATTTTGGTGTATTCCCCTGATCTTCAAACTCACCACTCCCATGTGAAACAGGTTCTGCAGACGTTGTTGAAAAATAAACTTTATTGTAAATTAGAAAAGTGCATATTTGACCAACCTGAAGTCCACTTTTTGGGTTACAACATCTCTGCATCGGGATTTCAAATGGATCCTAAAAAACTAGAGGCTGTACTACACTGGCCATTACCCTCTGGTTTAAAAGCCATTCAAAGGTTTATTGGTTTTGCCAACTATTACAGAAGATTCATCAAAGGATTTTCTTCTGTAATAGCCCCAATCACAAATATGACTCGCAAAGGGGTTAGTAGCACGATATGGTCCAAAGAGGCTGTGAATGCTTTTGAGACTCTTAAACAAAGATTTGCCTCTGCGGACATACTAAAACATCCCGACACTAGTAAACCTTTTATATTGGAGGTTGATGCATCTGAGACAGGGGTAGGGGCTGTTCTCTCTCAGAGAGAAAGCCAGGGAACACCATTGCATCCTTGTGGCTACTTCTCCAGAAAGATGTCTCCTGCTGAGCGCAACTATGATATTGGCAATAGAGAACTGTTGGCCATTATTCTTGCCCTCAAGAAGTGGCAACATCTTTTGGAGGGTTCCAAGGACCCCCTGTTGATCATAACCGACCACAAAAATCTGGCATATATAGGGGATGCCAAACATTTGTCTTCCAGACAGGCTAGATGGTCACTGTTCCTTTCACGTTTTAACTTTCTCATTACTTATAGACCTGGTTCTAAAATACCAAGGCTGATGCCTTGTCCAGGCAATTTGATAATGAGTCAGCTCCGGAACAGGTGACATCTCCTATTATTCCACCAGAGTGTATTATTGCTACTACTGTCCTCTCACTGTCTTCTCCACTGCTTGGCACCATACTGGAGGCCCAGCCTCAGGCGCCCAGTGGTAAACCGTGTGATAAACTATTCGTTCCCCTATGTGAAAGGGTTAATATCATGAAAGTGTTCCATGACAATATAACTGCTGGACACCCGGGCATCAATAAGTCCACTGCCGCGATCACTAGATCATTTTGGTGGGATTCACTCAGGAAAGATGTAAAGGAGTATGTGCAGGCATGCTCTGTGTGTGCAGTTTCTAAGGTGACTCATGCACTTCCTTGTGGCCTGTTGCAGCCTCTTCCTGTTCCTGAGATTCCATGGTCCCACTTATCCATGGACTTTATTGTAGAGCTTCCTAGCTCTGCTGGGTTCACTACTATTCTCGTGGTTGTAGACCGATTTTCTAAGATGGCTCACTTCATTCCTCTCAAGAAGTTGCCATCTTCGCAAGATTTGGTCCTAATTTTCATACGTGAAATTGTCCGTTTGCATGGCATCCCCACAATATTGTGTCTGATAGGGGCTCTCAGTTTGTGTCCAGGTTCTGGAGGGCGTTCAGTAAACAATTGGGGATTGATCTCTCCTTCTCCTCCTCCTACCATCCACAGACCAATGGTACAGCTGAGAGAGCTAACCAGTCATTAGAAGTTTATTTGCGTTGTTTTATTAATAGCACACAAGACAATTGGTCCGAACTACTCCCATGGGCCGAGTTCGCTAGAAACAATGCTGTTCATGACTCCTCTGGGCACAGTCCATTTTTTGTCAATAATGGTAGGCATCCTACGGTTCTCCCTGCGGTATTTTCTGATACTACCATTCCTGCTCTGGATGAGCGTCTGGCCTCCATTCGGGATACCTGGGTTAAAGTTCAAACTGCTCTAGGGGCTGCTGCTGAGCGCTTCAAACATTTTGCTGATAAGCGTAGGAGTGCCAACCCGGTGTACCAAGTGGGGGACCAGGTTTGGTTGTCATCTCGCAACATCAAGCTTAAGGTCCCTAGCATGAAGTTTGCCCCCAGATTCCTTGGTCCCTATAGAGTGCTTCGTAGGATCAATCCAGTGTCTTACTCTCTGGCTCTTCCTGCATCTTTAGGGATTTCCAACACTTTTCATGTGTCCTTACTCAAACCTCTTGTCTGCAATAGATATACTGTTCCTTGTGTTCCTCCCTCTCCGGTGGTGGTGGGTGGTCAGGAAGAGTATGAGGTATCTTCTATCGTGGATTCTAGGTTTTCTCGGGGCACTTTACAGTACTTGGTTGTTTGGAAAGGTTACGGTCCTGCTGATAGTTCTTGGGTTTCGGCTCCTGACCTGCATGCGGGCCATAAGAGCCGCGCTTTTCACGCTAAATTTCCTCTCAAGCCTGGTCCTGTCCGCCCGGTGGTCGTTCTTCAGGTGGGGGGTAATGTCACGTATTCATCCGCTTATAGAAATGTGGTTAATGACATTTACTGTCCACACAGGAAAAGTTGTGCCGAGCAGCAACCTAATCCACAGAAGGGTTAATGCTGAGCAGTAATTGTGCAAATGAAACCTGGTGTCATGTATTCATCTGCTTATAGAAAAGTGGTTAATGACATTTACTGTCAATACAGGAAAAGTTGTGCCGAGCAGCAACCTAATCCACAGAAGGGTTAATGCTGAGCAGCAATTATGCAAATGAAACCTGGTAACTGACTTTGAGGTCAAAGGCCGGTTACAGCCTATCAGAACTAAAGGAGAGGTATTTAGGCCCAGTTCTCAGCCTGCTCAGTGCCCTGTTGTGGTTTCCCTTGTGGTTGTCTGAGAGCGCGTTCCTGTTTATAGTTTTCTACCTGGTTTTTGACTTTGGCTTTGTTTAATGACTTCTCTATATTCTGGTATCC